AGTTTTGATATTTTACCCTTTTATGAGAACCAAATTGTCGCCAGTTGGGACAACATAGATATTTTCATGAATTTTATATTCTTGATCAAGCAGCAAGTTTCCATCACTATTATTATTATTCCATCACCTTAATTATCATCATTAAGGATAAAGAAGACATGAAGACATTTTCATCGTTATTTACTGGAATGTCCCATTTTAGCCAACACTTGAAAATCACATTAACAAAGAATGTATTCGAAATAAACCTTATTTCCTACTTTTTCTCCACAGCAAAGCCCTGAGCAAGGTGTTTGTGTACAACCACAAGCAGGCAGAGTGGAGGGAGATGGCGTCCATGACGACCCCCAGAGCCATGTTCGGGTCCGTTGTCCACAACAACCAGATCCTGGTGGCTGGGGGGGTCAACGAGGAGGGGCTCATCGCTTCATGTGAAGCCTACGACTTCGCAGCAAACAAGTACGATTCGGGTTGAAACTGGTCTTAGTTGACGAATTGTGTTGAAAATCATATTTATTTCCTTGGACTAATTTCTCTCAGAGCCAACACATACTATGGAGCCTCAAAGTTACAAAATACACATATTTATATAAATATAGGAATAGGTTTTGTTATGTAAATGAAACATTTTAACTTGTGATTAAATGCCATTGATGAGTAATGGCAAAATGTCACCAAGCTAACAAGGTAACCCTTTAGCTTGCTAGCTAGGTAGATACAGGTGCAGTCAATTGATGTCAAAGGTAATAGTGAACTTTTTTATTTACATTAGCCTCTACTAGGTGGATTCCGAATAATTTTTGACATTGTTGATAGTTACCAGGAGCTAACTAATTATTTAAGTAACATCTTTTGGTAGCAATATTTGAGCTCGCTAGCTAAAGAATAGCAGAGGGGACTTAATTATCTAAGAATCATTATCTGTCATTCAAATCACAAATTGACGTGAAGGGAAACACCAATATAAAATCAAGACATCTATATTTATTTGTCATCATTTATTTAAGAATGTCTTGTTTATTTATTTAATATTTTTATTTTCTGGCTCCCAAATACGACGCCTTACCTCATCTCAGCCACACAAAAAACGAAATTGCCCCGTGGCACAGCTCCATCTCACGCCTGACCTTCTCCTCGTGTTGCTTCTCCTCAGGTGGGAGCCCTACACTGAGTTCCCCCAGGAGAGGAGCTCTGTTAACCTGCTGAGTAACGGCGGCTCGCTGTACGCTGTGGGCGGCTTCGCCATGGTTCAGAACGAGGACAACGAGGTGGCTCCCACTGAGGTCACTGACGTCTGGCAGTAAGTCTTCTCAAGTTATGGGACCAGAGTTGACGTGTTTTTCTTGGTTGCATCTGGAGATCTGATTGTTCTGTCTTGTTAGGTATGAGGAGGATAAGAAGCAGTGGAGCGGGATGCTGAGGGAGATGCGCTACGCTGCCGGCTCCTCCTGTGTGTCCATGAGCCTCAACGCTGCCAGGATGCCCAAACTGTAGACAGAAGCACTTTCTTTCTTTCTTTCTAACCCCCCACCAACACCTCCTGACACCCGCCTCATCCCCCAGCGCTGCCTCCGAGTCGTCTCATCCTCTGCACTCACATTTCTGTGTCGAGTTGACCTTTGACATTAATTTTTCTTTACTATAAACACTCAGTTTCTCTTGAAAGACTGCACTATCCCCACAGTATTAAAAAAAAAAAAAAAAAAGACATCATAATTAAGATTGATCTATAGAACTCTGTTTACACCATTTCTAGCATTTTCTTTTGTAAAATAAACATTTGTAAACTTCTGCTTCTTTTTCTGATTCGGTGTGATCTACAGAGAAGGGACACGTCGAGGGAGCGAGAGAAGAGATGTATATTTGTAGCTTCTTTGTAGCGTCAGGTAAACAGAGAAGTGGAACTGGGTTAATAGCAGGTGAAGTGTTGACATTTAAACACTACAAAATAATCTTCAAACATGTCACCACCTTCATTTGTGTCAGCATGTCCATGAGTTACTTCACTGCATGTTCGAGAAATGGAACCATCAAACGTGAGTGGAAAAGTTAAAGTATGTCTCCACAGTTTCCCCTCTCATTGACCTTTAATACATTCACACTGACTCATTGTCATAGCGTTGATTTAACACTTACATTACCAGGTGATGGCACAGGAGGTTGAAGGATTTCTCACCACATTAGACAATCATTGTTCACAAATATGTGTACAACTGGTGTGTTAAGGAGGATAATTAACTTTAGAAATGTAAGGTAATATAGTTTAACTTTCTTCTACCTTGTTTGACTGAAAGTCGAACTGTGCTGGTCTATGTTTGAAACTCGATCAAGAGATTTGAAATAGCTGAAATACAGTTAATGAAATAAAATGAAGTGGGACTTAAAATGGAGAGGCTGCTGTTTAAAAGGTAGCCCAAAGTTCAATTGGCATCAATAAACAAACAAAGGCATGTGAGGCTAGTTGGCAGTAGTTAGAGTCTTTATCTCAAGTCCACTGTCAATACACTTTAGCAGGAGAGCCTCTCATCAATAATCGATTATCATCCACCTTTTAGCTCGTTGTTTTGGTCCAGTCTGCCGATCCCAGCCAGGTCAGTGGCATTCAAAATCTAAGACAAAAAAGTTGCCAATATAGTTCTTATTGGCCCTGGTGCGAAATATTTTCTCTGGCCCTTGCAGCTTTTTTGTTTATACTTGCTAAACCAGGGTAAAACTTATTCCACTTTGCAAGAGAACAATGTATTGTTGTTGAACTTTCAGAATATATGACTTTATTCTCAACATATAGACTTTATGCTCAAAATGCAAAAAGCTATTTATTTTTCGCCTGACACTCTACACAGTCATACAGATGACACTGTCATTTCATTTATTTCCCACATCTTGTTAAACTTCCTCATTACTTTTATACGAAATCAAGGTCTGTCCGTGCCAAATGTTGCCCTTCTTAAAGGCTTTGACATGCCTTTTAAGAAGTAATAACTCTTCTAAAGAAACTCCTGAGGTTACTCACTGGAGAGTTCACTTCATCTGTGTTGTCGGACTTGTTTTCCCGTTATTCTTCGCAATTTTACCTGAAACCTGATCTGTGTAAATACAGCGAACCTTGAGCTCTGTCAGCTCAAGCATGCAACCAGGAAACCAGTGCACATGGCTCAAGGTGAAGCACACAACAGTGGGCTCAAAACTAAACCCTGCTGGAGTTCCCCGTGTGTGAAGAAGGGTTGAAGGGAAGTGGAGCGAGGAGGAGGGGGAGCGACGGAGGGATGGGTGAGAAAACATAACACACTGAAGGCTTGGAGTGAGCACTGATGTAGACACTGGAACTAGAAGTGAGTAGAAATATCAGTTTTTCAACCTTTATCACTCAGCATTTCTGTATGGATGAAACTCACTTTATAGAAATTGCATTTTTTCACAAAGTGTAGTACAAGTATTGCTTTGTGAAATCTGAGTGTATATGCCACGTGTAAAGAACACCAGGCACGTGTCCTCAGTTCTATAATGAGAGCAGATTGAATTTACTGCATTACAGAAAGCTTGCCACAGGCTTCATCAAATCCATAGCGGCTTTCAGAAAGCAGACTGTTTGCAGAGGAAGGAAGAAGCTGTTGTTTGCTTCTTTCCCGCTGAGTTTACTTGATTATTTGTTTCTTTCCTAGTCTGCTCGCCTCTGGGTTTCTGTGCCTGTGACTTCCAGTGGTAATTACCAATGAGTATCTGACAGCTGAGGGAAAGGGAATGAGGATGTGTTCGCTGCCGTTGTTTTTTGTCCTCCAACAACATATAATGTATGACTCAGCCAATTGGAATCTGAAAAAACAGATAATCTTCATGCTGGAAACATCTATTACAAATGGACAAAAAATGTATCATTTGTTCAGCATTTTTATACTCATTGAATCAAAGTACTGTTATTTGCAGTATTGACTCATAATGATGAACCCAGCCAACTTCTAGAAGCTTTGCAGAGCATTTTAGTATTCATTTGAACTACACTGAACAAAAATATAAATGCAACACTTTTGTTTTTGCTCCCATTTTTCATGAGATGAACTCAAAGATCTAAAACATTTTCTAAAAACACAAAATAACCATTTCTCTCAAATATTGTTCATAAATCTGAAAAAATCTGTGATAGTGAGCACTTCTCCTTTGCCGAGAAAATCCATCCCACCTCACAGGTGTGGCATATCAAGATGCTGATTAGATAGCATGATTATTTCACAGGTGTGCCTTAGGCTGGCCACAATAAAAGGCCACCCTTAAACATGCATTTTTGCTTTATTGGGGGGGTCTGGGGGGGTCCGAAAACCAGTCAGTATCTGGTGTGAGGGTTAGGGTTAGGGTTAGGGTAATGTTGTGAATCGAGTGGCCCATGGTGGTGGTGGGGTTTTGGTATGGGCAGGCGTATGTTATGGACGACGAACACAGGCCCCTCCCCCCCC